GTGCACCATACGGTGACGAGCTTGGCTTAATCCACCCTTTCTCTATTAACTCATCGAGTTGCTTACGCAACTCAGCGAGTTCTTTGGGAGACATACGGTAGATGGGGCCGTTGGGAATCTTACTACCGGCTTCTATCTCAATCCGGTACTTAAATCTCCCTTTCAACTATGCCAATTGGACTCTCTCCTACATCAACAAACCCTCTAGCAATTTCAGCACCTGGGGTGGCATTGCCTCTTCCTCTTTCTTGCTCTCATTAATCGGTCTAACGTAAGCAACGGACACTTGGTCAACCAGTTGTTCTTGACCATGTGTCAGCCGAACGCAGAGACACTCATATAACAAAGCGACAAACTGCTCTTTACGCCGGACTCGTGACATAACTGCATTTTTTTTCCCGCACCTATTGGGCTGGGCAGCCAGCACTCATGCTCGCCCATCTTTTTTTTTTTTTTTTTTTTTTTTTTTTATGTGGTCTGATGGACCACGGATCAGATATTAAACTGATCAGAATAGATACTACACTTGATCTTCGCCAAAAGGTCGAGAAAGGTATATGCCCGCCCATCTTAATGTCGACGTATGTAGCATTTTCCCAGTTTGTTCCCACTATCAAGTCGAAGGGAAGGTTGTCCTCCACTAAGAGTATCAGGGAAGGCAAAACTTTTTCTACCTTTGTCCTTGTCTCCAACCGAAAGTATGCCTTTAGTTCCTCAACGTACTCGCAATCATCTCTCGATTATCGACCAGTTACTCACGTCTGGCTCATCCAAGTTTTTTACTTTCTTGCCGAGATGCATCATCTGCAATCCTTTTTTACTAATATAACTATGCGTTGACCCGCTGTCAATTAACGCGCCTACTCTTCCTCTACTTAATTTTTACATCTCCTATTATTAGCTGCCCTTTTGACTTCTTCATTTCGGCCCAGGCTTGGCGACGAGTGATCAGCTCATCACCAATGCCTGCGAGGGAACCACCTAGAGAGCTTCTCGCACAGGCAAACTTTGGACAACCAGCTAGGTGGGGGTCTACATCAGTCTCTGCCAGTGGGACCTTCAGACATAAGGGTGCCTGTTCAGCGCACGCTTCTACCTGCCTGTCTATGTCTAAAGTCCCTGTAGAGGCAAATGCAACCGCTACTGGCTGTTCCCTTTGGGGTACCTGTACTCAGGACAAAAAGGAACAATGTGGCTGGGGTCACCACATTTAAAGCATTGTCCAACCTCAAGTTGTTCTTGCCACAACTTTTGGTCTATTTTCATGGCCTCCCAAGGCCTACCTTCAACAATCCTGGATGTGCTGGGTATGGATTCCTGCCTCTACCTCTACCCCCATTGAAGGGAGCACCTCATCCGCCTTGCGAGGGACCATAACCTCGACCTCCCACGTAGTAGCTACGTTCGCCACCACATGAGTAGCGGGTCCTCAACGTCCACCTCTTCCATGGCCTCCTCTACCTCGGCTGCCTCTTCCTTATCGTCTTCCCCCACGGCCTGCAGCAGGCGCATAGTTCCCTCCCCGGGCCACTTGCTTGTTGTCCGTATCCTCTAGTCCGTAGTCTACCTGTTTGTAGGGAAGCGACTGAACTCCCCCTTCTTCAAACGTGACTAAAAGATTGTCTTTACCCTCTATGTTTCTTGAAATTGTTTTGTTTTTCCACCGATTCCCTCTCTGTAGATCTTTCCAATAGTGGCAATAGTTTGCATCCTACATGAAACCGACATGGTTTACGACAATTTTACTGAACTTCTCGTATGTCATCCCTTCTTCCTTTGTACGGGGATACGACTAGGTCCTGACGGGATCGGGAAGCGCTCTTGCAAAATTGTCTAAAATTTGCATAGGGGTTAGTCTGTAACCTGGACACGACAATATCTCATCCATTGTGGCCTTAGGTGCCGAGACACTCTTCCATTTCTCGTCACTAATGTTAAGGATCAAATATTTTGTGCAACGGGCCAGGTTCTTATCTTTAGACCTATCTTTCAAGGCCCTCATGATATCGTCAATATGGGTTTGTTGGGAATACTGCACCATCGAGGTATATCCTGCTTCCTTCACTAAGGATATAGCGAAGTTGGTCGCATCTCCAGCAATACACGAACTAGCCATAAAGACACGGTCTTGATATGGAATCAACTGCGCGTATTGGTACGTGTCCATCGTTGCTTCCCACTCGAATATATTATCTTTTTTTTTCCAGTGCAAGTCCAAGGGTGTGTTACTTTCATCTTCTCTCTTCTCTCTCCTCCCTTAGATTGCCTTTCCTCTCCTTTGTTTCCGCCATCTTTCCTTGGACCTTTGCCTTTTTTGTCATTGTCACCATCATCCTAACCATCACCATCGCCACCTCTACCACCGCCACCCAACTTGCTGATGCGATGGTGTGTTTGTCAACTTTTGTGTGAAGATACTGTCTAGTTAGCGGGCGTAATCAATAAAAGTTTCGTCATTTCTATGGGAGGATGGGTAGAGAAAATTGTTCCAAGTACTTCGGAATTCTTCCTGGTGGCGTTCAATTTTCCCTACGGATTTTTGAAGTGCGGCGAGTTCCTGCGTGGTGTGCAGCAAGGTGTCAGTAAGGAGGGTTAAACTCTCTTTTACTTTCGTTTTTCCCTTTTTGCTCCCTTAGCATCCTTTGGAGCCTTCCCCCTCCCTCAACCTTTTTTTTTATGAAATTCCTTTCTCTTTCTCTTTTGGGTCGATAATCGCTGATAAGGATACTTCTCCTCTCTTCAATAAGCAGTGTTCTCTTCTCCTCATCAGCAACTGCTGCCAACCTTGCCACGCAAACATCCCTCTCCTCCTCGGATTCTTTCGGCGTCTGAGTGCGGAATCCGATTTTTTCCACCCAGTCCTCATCCTCCACTTGTTGGAGCCTCAACCGCCCAGCCTGACTACTCTCCGCAGCTTCTCTTCCTTCTCCCCCTTCTCTTTTTTCTCTTCTGCATAGTAATCTTTCCTCTTCTTCTTCTTCCAACTCCTTTTGTAACTCTTCGTCTTTCCGTTTCATCTCTTCCCCTATGCACTTCTTTTCCTCCTCCATTCACTTTCTTTCTTGCTCCAATTTTTGTTTTATATCATCCCCCTTCTCCCTCTTATTCTCCTCCTCCTTTCTTTTCTCTGCCAGCCTCTTGTCAATTTCTACTTGTTGTTCAGTGGTATACGGGTGGGTGTTTCTACCAGACTTCGTGGTAGTACACATCCTACTTGTGCGGTGAAATCCAAGAAGGAAGAATAGACGGAACAGCGGCCCCCTTATCGTTGACAAGGCCAAGAAAGCTAACATTGGGTAGTCATCCATGGTGGAAGAAGGCCCAGGTATGTGGACACTGCCTCCTCAGTGTCCTCACCACGTAGACGTACACCTCAACACTTATCAACTCTTACTCGATTAGGGTCTGACCTAGTTTCCCTTCCCACACTGTCACTACAGCTCCCCTATCAAGTCTGGTGGGCAACCAGCAAGTTTAAGGTCAACCAGCAAGGACGTCAATAATTCTTTAACGACGCAAACAGGACGCCGTGCCCACCAGTCGGTCAGTACCGGTCTTAGGGCTAGACGAGTTGTTTTACGAGTGTTTGCCGCTCATGCCCATTCTCCCTACTTAACGGGTGATTCATCCAGCTGCCGAGCTTCAACCCTAGACTTGACCTAAAGCATGCACGAGTATTGACCTCTCACGGGGCTAGGGTCCCACTGGGTACGCATGCCCCAGGTAGGTCGGCAACCACTAGCCACTTCCCCACAAGGGGAGGAGCCTTTCCTCCAGGAGAGAGTCTGTCCTCTGGAGGGGCATGCATTCTCAAGCAGATCCAGATGCTGACTTAGGACAATTACAAAATATGTCATCAACAGATTAGATCAGCAGCAGCATCTCCAAGATGTGGGAAGGTACTCAAACACACAAATATTCCATAAAGAGCTGATACAAAGCTTAGTGGGGCAAAGCACTTCACTCGGCAGCGTTCCCTTGTTGATGCTCCACAATGCAGCTTCTTGCAAGCAGGTACATTCTCTTCCTCATCCCCCAACAGGCCACATCTTCTTTGGCCTTCAACCCCAGGTCAACCCTAATTCCGTTCTCGCTGGCCTTATGCCTTGCCAGTGCCAACTTCCATGGATGCAGTGGGATCCAACTCTGATACCAATTGCAATGAACCACTTATATTCACAATCCAATTGCATACACAATGAGAGTTCACACAGAAATCCACACCGAAGTCCAGAAATGGAGAGAACAGATTTGCGCAGCTCAAGAGACCTCAATGATTGACCATACTATACAAGTTCAGAGTTCCAGTCACATAGCGTTCGTCAGCTCAGCACCCAACGACTTCAATCAGATATGTAACTGAGTTTCTCTCTCTCTCTCTCTCTCTGTTATATGCCCAGTTGGGCTATGTGTTCAGCCAAGGATCCGCAATGTTATGAAAAGGACTGAATGGACAATGTACTATTAGTGAAACATCAACAGACAATGTACACCCAATACATGAAGAATGCATTTAATAGCACAGCGGAAGACTTTGAAATAAGTCCTGACCTGACCTGGACTGTCACGACACCCCATCATACATCACACATGTGAGAAGAAGAGGAGGAACCGCATTCACAGAAGAAGGTCCCTCCCTTTACACACAGATGGGGAGATACCACGGATGAGAGATGTAGGGGGAGGAAGGACGAAGATGGAGGCRAGGGAGAAGACCAAGATCGCAATAACGAAGTCCAAAATAGTCCCTTGCCGACATCCAGACAATGCCTGCCTCAAAAAAATGTTGAATCAGATCCTGAGCCACATGCCCGTTGTAACCTCTGCCTGTATCCTCTGTGAGTAACCACTCTCACTCTCGTAGTCTACTGGTGCACTGAAGTCAGGTAGCGTAACGACAAGAGAGATGGTGGACTGAGAAGAGGAAGAAGAAGTTTCTCTCTCTCTCTCTCTTTTCCAAGTGCCAGGTACTAACCTGTGATGATGGTGTTGTGCTGCAGGTACCTCGATGGCGAGCTGGAGCTATGGCGCTGCAGGTAAGTCTCCCCGGCCTCCGCCCAATCTCTGTCACCCTCCAATGCTACTCTACCTCCTACTAGCGCCCAACGCTGAAGACTATAGCTAACGCTACTACTACTGCTGCAGCGCTCCTCCAAAGTGCCGCTGCTGAATGCTGAAGACTACTCCCTGCCTGTAGAAGTGCACGTCGAGTGCCTGGGCAGTCTCTCCATCCCTACCTGTAGGGCAGGCCAGTCTTATATAGTGCTGGCCCGTCCAGGAGGCTGCTCTTGCCATTGCCTGAACGTGCTAGCCCCTGGGGAAGCTTCAGGGCAGGTCGCTCCTGCCAATGCCCGAACATGCTTGTTTCAGCGCAGGTCGGTCTGACGAGGGACCGAGAATAGCCCTCAGTTTCAGGCTGAAAAGGCTCAGGCCTTTTTTTAGGCTGAAACGATACAGGGCCTGTGGGTCCCGGATGTCAGGCTTTCGGGCTGAACCGTCATGGGGCCTATAG